GCGTCGAGTTTCTACGCTCGCGCGTTTATCTTTAGAATTAATATCTTTTAATCCATAATAAAGTGAGACCCTGGTTTGGTGTAAACTCCAACACCCTGTGCGGGGGTGTTTTACTCTAGAACACTCGGTAGCGTACTATTTCATGGTAGTGTAGCCTTTTATTAGACTTTGAGTATATTGAGGTGATTCGGTCACGAACCGACCGCAATTCCTACTGTCTAAGGTGTGCACATTTCTCGGATGTAAACTTTAATCGACTAGACCGGGTTGCGTCTAACGATCCTTATGATCAATGTGACTGTATTTCTACTATAGGAGGTTTTATAGGAGAAATCGCTAAAATTCGCATTTTTACGGGTGTATTGTTACACTCCGTATCATCTCCCCCTCACTATAATACTGACCGTCCTCGGTCATCACTAGATCCCCGTATGAGGACGTTCCCCTCGTGTTTTTCTGGATTTTATATTGATATGTCTTCAAAAGATCACCGTCTGTCAAGCGTGTCTTTTATCCTTTGGCGTCAATTACTATTACTAGTGCAGGCGCGTTATTCTTCGAAGACATGACATCATATTCCTATTGTTGCCTAGGTACGCCTTAGTTGATTAACGTTTTTGACGTCCATTAAGATTTTCAGGGTCGACGGAACCGAGGGATTCTCAGCGATCTTCTCCCGTAGACTATTCTTCGGAAAGTGCCTCGCTATTCCGTATGTTCCGCCTGACGTTCCTATAAACTTCATGCTTTATGGGAGCGATTGTCACAATTTCTTTCTAACTTTCCCCATCATGCCTACCGCATTCCTTGGTTGTCGCGCCGCCGTTCAAGCGTTCGAAGTCGGCATTGACCTCTTCTCGCGTTCCCGCCTCAACGCTATGTCTGAGGCCGAGATTATGGCTACGCTATACCGCCTGCATAGTTATATGGTGAGTCTCTGTTCTTTTCTTTTATTCTCTGCTGATTTTCGACTTTTTATTGCCTTAGTTAGCATTGTTTTCAGACATCCTCGCTCGTCCTGGTGGTCCTACGCCACACGAGTCTCGTTTACTGGCGTCCGTTTACAATGCCACCCAACGCGTTGAAGAACGCAACCGAAGTACTGCCTGGGAGGAATGGCTGCAAGAACCATTGGATGGTCATGCGCTTTATAGCCCTGTAAGTAACTTTCTTCCGTTCTTTCTTTTTATTTTCCTTCTAATGATTTTTATCTTTCTAGGGCGAATGCCTAGACTCCAGCTTTACCACGGGGTACATAGGAGAGGAGGACGCGCCGAGCGACCGCGGGTCTTCGTCACCTCCGGGGATCATTACTCCCCGAGGTCGAGCTCGTGTCGTTCAGTCCCCTTCTCCTATGGGATCCGATCCGTTGTTTCTACCGAGCCCTGGCCCAGAGTCCCTGCCAGTTTCCTCGCCTGACTCGACGCCGCCTGTCCCTGTTCGAAGGTCGAAGCATACTCGTGCCATGGTCATGGACGAAGATTCGGATGTGGTCGAGATCATCGATCCTCCGTCTTCAACGCCCTTGAAGCTGGCTATTGGCCCTGTAAGTTTCTTCATTTTCCTCTGCTTAGACATTTTTACTAACTTTTTTTTTTTTTTTTTTTTTGGTTTCTTAGCCAGGTAAACGACGCAAGATTATTGAGAAACCCTCGTCTGATGACGAGGCCATCCAACATCCCAACCATTCACGTTCGAGCTCGTCGGACTCTGTACCTCTCGCTAGGCCTTTGCATGCAGACAAGGGCAAGGCTCGCGCCAAGACGCCTCCGCCTGTTGCAGGTTCATCTCGAGTTGACAAGGGAAAGGCTCGGGCGAGGACTCCTCCTACTACTCGTAGTTCTGCCAAGCGTACTGCCTTTAAGCCACCGGTGGTCAAGCAGAAGGAAACTTCTGTTCAACCCAAGCGTCGCGGTCGCCCTCGTAAGAAGTGTAAGCTTTTTCTCTTTCTCAATTTGCTTTTTAACTTTATAATTCGGGTTTTTTCCAGCTCCCGTTATTTTCCAAGAGCCCATCGTGTTCGACAAGAAGCGATTTAGTAAGTCGTTCTTTTTACTAGTATTTTGGTTACCCTGCTGACTTTCTTTTTAGAACGTGCCACCGCTAGATTTGGGCTTAAAGAGCTCCCCGCGGTTCTTAAGGGTACACAAATCCATGTATGTCTCCTCCTCTCATTTTTGTCTGAGTTTTCATAGGTACTGATACCTGTTTTATTAGATGCCCGAACCTTGCCTTCAGTGCTCCGCGCGCAAGGATTCCGCTGTCAAGAACTGCACCTTTCGTGGGTGGGGAACTCCCTGCGGTCCTTGCGACGCGGCGCATGTTTCTTCGTGTGAGTACTATCTGAATGATGAACGCCGAGGGGCCGTCAGGGATGTCATCCGTAACCGGTTGGCTATTCATGCGCCTTCAGGTATGATTTTTATTTTTATTTTATAGTCTTTTTAATGACTTTTCACTTATTTTTCTAGCTATATCTGCGCTGATGGAGTCCATCGAAGAAGACACGCTTCATATGCGCACCCTATCCGCAGTCCTTGAGGCCATTCGCCATCGTCGCGACGCCAATCTTCGAGAGTTCGCAAACGCCATCGCGGACCTGTGTCTCACCGCCGAGCCTGGAACTCTTCTAGGCACTGTTTTCGAGACTCGCGAGGAGTTCGGCTCGTGGTACAGCTTCGTTCAAGACTTTGTAGATACTCAGGGGGTCCCAGTGCCTGCGGGTTCAACGACGGCCGATTTGGAGAGACTCGTCTCACTTTTTCAGCGAGACGATTCTCCTCCCATTGCTGGGCCTTCATCTCTGACACCTCGTCAACGCCGCGTCCGCTCGCTGTCCCTTATTCCTTCTATCGCCGTTGCTTCGCCTGGTCTTCCACCTTCCGCCCATTCTCAGGAGGAGGAGGAGGAGGTTATCGACGAGCTTGTTGACGAGGAGTAGGTGCGCTTGTTTTTACGGACTCTTTTACTTGGCATGCATTCGGACATCTTAGTTTTTGGACTTTCTATATCAACCTTTTTGTGTCATTATCTTTTGTAGTTAGATTCTGCTGTCCTTATAGTAGAATCTTGACTTTGTCTTTCTTGAACTTTGAGATTTGTTCCTAAGTGAGAGCCTTTTTGCATGCTTTCTAGAGTGTGAACTTGTGAATTTTCGACTTTATTTCGCATTTTTCTATCAAATTCATTCTGCCTTAGGGTTTTATTGTCTCTAGTTCGCGTTTTTATGACTCTTTTCCCCTTGGTGGTTTTAGTGAATCATGAAATCGAATTTTTTATCTATCAAGGTAGCCTTGATCCCTCCCCCTCACTAAATATTGACTGTCCTCAGTCAAAACGACTAAGTTCATAGGTCACGTGGCGCGGGAAATCCAAGGCTCGGAAAGTTTATTCTATTTTTAGACGTGATCGCGCTGGAACGCACAACTCCAAATTTTTCACGCTTCAAGTGAATTGCAACGCGGAATTTCAGAACGCGCACGCCTTGGTCTCAGACACACATATAAAAGCAGGCAGTGGCGAAAAAATTTTGGACAGAACAGTTTTTTGCTTTTCTACCACGCACTCTCATTTTACCACTCGCTCATTATGTCTATCCCACACAACGCTCTTCCCGCCGCTGTCAAGCTTCGCGAGTCCGCTCTCACTGCCTTCAAAACTTATCAGGACATGAAAGAGGGACTGAACAGCGCTGCCGCTCCCACCATTCTTGGCGTAGCCGCTAATTACTGTGTAAGTCGCGAATTTTTCTGTTATAAACTTCGTATTCTCTATTTCTTCGAACAAAGGCTAATACTGCGCACTTGACTAGGTTCAGCTTATCGACACCAAGGATCCGTGTCTGCTTATGCACCAGCCAATGCACAACGTGCTTTTCCTTGTTAGAGGCGAGTACAATACCCGCAGCACTGGAGTTCACGCCATCGCGCCCCCAGCCAACCTCGACACTATCAAAGAATATTGTCGCGCCGTTCTCGCCGCACGCGCCGCTGCGCAGGTCGTTCCACCACCTGTTACTGCTCAAGCTCAGGCTCAGGCTGAGATTGCAGAGGTAATGGCCGCCGCTAAAGCCAAGGCATGTTTATACTTATTTTGTTCATCTTTTCTCATTTTATTAACGCAGCGCGGATACATTTTGAAACAGCGTCCCCGCAAGCTTGTCAAGTCCAGGGCTGTCGTTGAGGACAAGGATGACGAGGTCGAGATTGTCCCCGGCCCCTCGGATACCGACGTTATGATGGGTGGGTGTGATGGCCCCAACGCTATCACTGCAGCTGACACCGTGCGTTATTTTTTATTTTCTTTTGAGCAGAACACAATTTTAACATTGCGTACCGCTTTGCTCAGATGGCAGTGGACAACCTCTTTGGTGACGAAGAAGTCAAGGACGCCGCTTCCTCTCCCAAAGAGAAAGGCAAGAAGCGCGCTGCCTCTGGTCCCAAGGTAAGCTGCTATTATTGCGTGAGTCCACTGCCACGTTGTTAACTTCATATTCTATTCGGACATAACAGACCCCAGCCAAATCCAAGCGTGCCGAAACGGTCAGCATTCCCTACGACGCTGTTCCAGGCATGGACACTAACAGTCGCGAATTTCACAAGGCCCTCGTCGTCGAGCATGCCAAAGGCAGTTGCGCTGGCGACAAACGCCCTCGTACTGAACCGCCCTTTATTAGTGGTTTAGCAGATCTTCAGTCTCGTCAAAGTTCGTATTTATCTTTTATCTTCATAAATCGTAAACTAACGCGCTCGTCCTTTGTTATAGACAAGTCTGCCAACTCCTTGCTCATCGACAACCCTCTGTACAGGGAGATCTTAGCGCGCGCACATGCTGCTGTTACCAACCGCATGCCGGCTTATCCCACCCTTGCTTATTTCAAGCAGCAAGAGGTCGATCTTCGTGAACGCGTTCTTCTTAGCATGCAGCGCCTCGACTTGGAGCTTCGTCTTCGCGATGTACTTGTCGCTGATTACGAAATTGCCCTTGCCCAGATTGCTGAGCGTGAAGTAACTAAGGAGTAGTAGAACTATCCGAACTTTTTTTTTTTTTTTGTAGACGGACACCTAGAGCCCGCATGTATAGTTGACTACGCATGGAAAATCTAGAAGGCGCTTGCGCATTATGTTTATAAACTGCTGGAGGTTTTTATTAAACTTTTTAGCCAATTTTTAAAGCATAAGTCTACTAAGCCTCTTCTTCACTTAAATCTTCGATTTCTTCTAAGTCCCCGGATTCATCTGCGGAAGACCCATCAAGATTAACTCCTTCAAAGTAGTAATCTCTTGCGTTAGGTCTTTCTTCAACGCCTGTGTTTTCGATTTCATCCAGTTCCTCATTGCTTGCATCAATAAGTGTACTGAAGTGCTCAGGTAAGTCGATCATTTCTCTTGCGAAATACGGAATGACTCTGAACGCTCCAATTTTATTGTGATTGACTGA